CCTGGTCTGGGTCCTGGTCTGGGTCCTGGTTCTAGTCTGGACTGGAGTCATTTTCTTCTTTTTTTGTTATTGGTCAGACACACACACACACACACATATTTCTTCATGTTTCAACATAGGGTGTGTGTGTGTGTGTGTGTGTGTGTGTGTGTGTGTTCTCTGATCCTAGTGTTGAAACCAGGTTTCTTCACTCACAGACAGAAGACAACACACACACACACACACACACACGACAAAATTAAGAAATCAGAAAAGTGCGTTCTGTGAACAGAATCCAGGAGCACAGCAGAGGAAATGCTGCCCCCAGCTGGACAGAGTTTAAACTGCAGCCGTGACTTTTTTCACACCACTGAATCATTTTTCTGTTTAACTTTTTTTTGTCTCCGTTGTTGTTTTGTGCACGCGCGCTCGTGTGCTCGTGCACGTGCAGGTGCAGCCCGTCCTGCAGCCTCTCCGTCTCTCCCTGGACAAACTGAGGGACGTTTCCTCTCGTCTCCACAAAGGCCTGGTCCAAGGTCTAGGGAAACACTCTCACCACAGAGCTGCAGTCAAGATGCTGCCGACGTTCGTCAGAGCGACACCTGATGGAACAGGTGGGAAATGATTTGGTTTGAAACAACAGTGACCGTGGATGGACGTGAACATTCACACCGTGTCTCCAGAGAAAGGTGACTTCCTGGCCTTGGACCTGGGGGGGACAAACTTCCGTGTTCTTCACGTGCGGGTGCTGCAGGCGGAGCAGAAGGTGGTGAAGATGGACAGTCAGATCTGTGTGGTCCCCAAAGACATGATGACGGGAGCAACACAACAGGTGAGGACCAGGGACCAGGGACCATCAGTAATAGTTTGTTTGACTCGTGTCTGCTGAAACCTGACCTTTCAACTGTTCTGTGTCTCTCTCCCTCCCTGTCTCTCTCCCTCCCTGTCTCTCTCCCTCCCTGTCTCCCCCTCCTCCCCCAGCTGTTTGACCACATCGCTTCATGTCTCGGTGACTTCATCGCGTCTCAGGAGCTCAAGGGACAAACTCTTCCTCTCGGTTTTACTTTCTCTTTTCCTTGTGAACAGAAGGAGATCGACAAGGTAAGTGTCCACGTGTCTCTGTGTCCACGTGTCTCTGTGTCCACATAACTCTGTGTCCACGTGTCTCTGTGTCCAGAGCATCCTGATCCGCTGGACCAAAGGCTTTAACTGTCCAGGTGTGGAGGGAAGAGACGTGGTGACGCTGCTGAGAGACGCTGTTCGCAGGAGAGGGGTCAGTCAATGCACCACGTGCACGCTCCTGAGCACGTGCACACTCCTGAGCACATGGTCTGTGTTCCGTCTGTGTTCCGTCTGTGTTCCGTCTGTGTTCCGTGGCTACAGTAAACACTGGATCCAGTGATCGTTTCTGAAACATAATCGTTTGAAGACTCGGTTCTGGGACAAAATGGAACTCCTCAAACTTCAACAAGAAAAAGACCAAAACATGAAGAACTGATCACAAGACAGACCGTCTGTGTCTGTGTCTGTGTCTCTGCAGGACTATGACATTGGTTCTGTTGCCATGGTGAACGACACAGTGGGGACAATGATGAGCTGTGGATACAAAGACCAGAGCTGTGAGATCGGCATGATTATTGGTACTAACACAGGGGGGACAGAGACAAACACACACTGATTGTTGTTGTTGTAGTTGTTGTTGTTGTTGTTGTTCACAGGTACAGGAACAAACGCTTGTTACATGGAAGAGATGAAGAACGTAAAGCGTGTGGAGGGAGAAGATGGACGTATGTGCATCAACACTGAGTGGGGGGGGTTTGGAGACGATGGTTCTCTGAGAGACATTCAGACTGAGTTTGACCAGATGGTGGACAAGACCTCCATCAACCCTGGAGTCCACATGTACGTCAGGTTCCTCCAGAGCACCGTAAAAGCTAAAATCTCTGATTTTCTCCATGGACTTTGGTCTGAATTAAAATCTCTGATTTTCTCCATGGACTTTGGTCTGAATTAAAATCTCTGATTTTCTCTGTGAGGTTTGATCTGAACTAAAATCTCTGATTTTCTCCATGGACTTTGGTCTGAATTAAAATCTCTGATTTTCTCTGTGAGGTTTGATCTGAACTAAAATCTCTGATTTTCTCTGTGAGGTTTGGTCTGAACTAAAATCTCTGTTTTTCTCCATGGACTTTGGTCTGAATTAAAATCTCTGATTTTCTCTGTGAGGTTTGATCTGAACTAAAATCTCTGATTTTCTCTATGAGGTTTGGTGTGGTAAAATGGCCAGTGTTTCTATTGAAGCAGAATCCTGTTTGTTTCTCCTGCAGCTTCGAGAAGATGATCAGTGGCATGTATCTGGGAGAAATAGTTCGTCTGCTGCTGCTCCGTCTGTCAGAGGAGAAGTTACTCTTTAAAGGACAGAAGTCTGAGGTTCTTCAAACCCCAGAGATCTTTCAGACCAAGTTCATCTCTGAAATTGAAGAGTGAGTTTTTCTTTATTCCCTGACTTTGTTCGATTCGTCCGGAGATGAAATTGTAACTTTTTATATCTGTCTGATCCTGATCAGGACCAGGTTTTTTGAGAAAGTCAATATCACATTTTATTGCGGGAGTGACATCATTGATGACATCATGTAGTCGTAATGCTTTTACTTCTAGTAGCCAACGAGGTGATTGAAAGAGCAGGATGTGACATCATTACTCCTGGTTTCACTTCCTGCTCCATGTCCACAGGGAGGACACTGGTCTGGACAACGCCCGGCGCATCCTGACCCAGTTGGACCTGCAGTGGGATGAAGCGGACGTCCGTGTGGTGCGTTTGGTTTGTGACACCGTGTCTTCTCGATCCGCTCGTCTCTGTGCTGCCGCTCTGGCAACGATCGCCAACAAGATGCGCCTGAACCGTGGTCTGGATCGTCTGCAGACCACCGTGGGGGTGGACGGCACCGTGTACAGGAAACACCCAAAGTAAGTGCAGCCGTGGAAGACGACAGAGAAACATGGTCATTTTAACTCATCAAAGTGGTTTCAGCTCAGGGACACAGGAGCTGCTGGTCCACTGCTGCCTCCTGTGGTCACTTTGTGTCACTGCGCTTCAGATGACATTTGTACATATTATGGCATTGATGGTCTGGATCAGAGGTCTGGATCAGAGGTCTCCATCAGGGTTCTGTCCTGGAGGAAGAAACTGTCACAAAGACCAGAACAACTGACCGGACCTGATGGAACAACTGACCAGACCTGACGGAACAACTGACCAGACCTGACGGAACAACTGACCAGACCAACTGACCGGACCTGACAGAACAACAGACCAGACCTGACAGAACAACTGACCAGAACAACTGACCGGACCTGACGGAACTGACTGGAACAACTGACCGGACCTGACGGTACAACTGACCAGAACAACAGACTGGACCTGACAGAATAACTGACCCGAACATGATGATGATGGTTCATCTCGACACCTCCTCACCTTCCTCCCCCTTCAGTTTCAGTGAGGAACTGCAGCTGACCGTGCGTCTCCTGGCTCCTGAATGCAGCATCACCTTCCTGGTGTCTGAGGACGGCAGTGGGAAGGGCGCTGCCATGGTAACGGCTGTGGCTCAGCGGTTGGCTCTCCAGTCCCGGCTGTTAGATGACAGTGAGGAGGACGAGGAGGAGGAGGAAGAGGACGAGGAGACATCCTGAGTGGACAAGATAATCTAAACGTTTTACTACAGTTTCCCCACAGGTGGCGTACTAGTTACACATCCTTGTTAAAATAACTAACCTGCTGAATTAAAAAGTTAAACAATGAAACTACTGCTGAAGACAACCAGTGTCTGTGTCTGTGTCTGTGTCTGTGTCTGTGTTTTCATTTGAATGTGTTTCATTGTTGACTTTGGTGATGAGTTATTAATAACTACAGACTCCTGTCAGTGACTGGTCTGTAAGTGAGGTCCACATCACCACCAACACCACCAGGTGTCACCACCAGGTGTCACCACCAGGTGTCACCACCAGTTGTCACCACCAGGTGTGGACCATCTGACCACGGTGTCACCACCAGGTGTCACCACCAGGGGTCACAACCAGGTGTGGACCATCTGACCACGGTGTCACCACCAGGTGTCACCACCAGGGGTCACAACCAGGTGTGGACCATCTGACCACGGTTTCAACCCCAGGTGTCACCACCAGTTGTCACCACCAGGTGTGGACCATCTGACCACGGTGTCACCACCAGGTAGATGAGCTCCAGGCTCCTGAACAGGTTTCTATTCAGGTTTGGTGAAAAATGTGACGTTTGGTCAGATTTGGAAATAGGGTTCAATAAAAATGTGATCCAATCACAGACGTGATGATGAAACTGGTCACGGAGACAGAAACCAGTCTGAACTGGTTTTAGTTCTTTGTATTTCATTTACTGTTATTTTTCTAAAAACTTTATATCACTTTTTTTCTACCGATTTCGTTGTATTATTGACAGATTAAAGTAGTCACCCCCACTCACCCCCCCACTCACCCTCCCCCCGTGTCATAACATTTATTACACGCAGAGTCGAGTTACTTTCGTACGAACCATTTTGAAAACTTTATTTTTTATTTTTCCCCCATTCTTCTTTCCTCCTTTTCCTGTCTGCTGCAGAGCTCCGCCTCTTTTTCGTGTCACCCGGAAGTACGTCACTAAGCTAAAGCTAATGATGCTGTCGTTGTTGCTGCTGATTCACTTTTTAATTTTTTAATTTCAAACTTGTTCCGATCTGTTTCCGTGGACTCTTGGTCGTTTCGTCGGTGTTCACTCTGAAAAGGAAAAACTACTTTAGAAAAAGAGAAACTCTGTTTTGTTGTTTAATTTCTTTTAATATGTCGCCCTCACCCTCCCCCTCCTCCCCCTTTTGCTGCTGTTCTGTGCGTTTGTTTTTGTGACGGCGTATCCCGGCGGTGTAACCGGAGAGGCGCCTCCTGCTCCTCCTCCTCCTCCTTTTCGCCTCCTCCTCCTGCTCGCAGAGGGAATGCGGGAGCTGCAATGGAGCACAATGAAATCCAGGTAAAATCATTTAATATCAACATGATTTTACTGCTGTCTCCGCCTGTGTGAGAGTGTGCGGTTTGTGCGGTGGGAATGAGGCGGAATCGTGTTGTCCACCGTGTGTCCTTTAACCGCTGCCGTTGTTTCTTTAATCGCTTTAATTTCATTTACTTTGACCGAGCTGATTGTTTTCCACACGCACACGCACGGGCTCACGCGCACACTTCCTCTGGCTGCGATTCCAACTTTATTTCAACTTTTCTCCGGCTCTTCGCTGCATTTTCTGCCCAGAAACAGGCGCAGAGGCGACGATTGTTTTCTGCTCCGCGGTCGTGGAGACAGCGACTCGTCGCCGCCGCGTTTCCCCACACTCTCTGCCGTCAAAATCCGCCTCAATATTCCTGATATTCTCCGCCTGATATTCCCTAATTTCTTTGTCCGGTCGACGAGTCCCGTCGAGCTTCATTTACCAACCTCCACATTCCCCACAAATCAGTCAAAAATGCCCCAGAAAGCTGTTGTGTTCGGCGTCAGAAATGTGAATGTAAAGGCCTGAAATATCAGCAAAAACTTTTCAGCTGCTCAGAAAAAAAATATGGAGCCTCGACATTTTTAAGGCAGCCATTCTGAGAAAATTACAGCTCGTGTATTTCAGACAGCAGTGTGGGCTTTTTGACTTTTCGCTCATATTTAACGTGTCATTTCCAGCGGAGGTCGAGTAGCAGCAGCTGTTGTCGTTCCTATTGATATTATTATCAAATTCAAGCCCCGACATTTTGTGTCTGCAGTAATTACCTGACTTTCAACAGGAATGTTCACCTTTATGTGCTGCCGACTCCGGTCTGCCCGCGGCACCGCGTCCACTCACGTCGACTACGTTTGATCGCCGTGAGAATCATTCATTTTTTTATTGTCCAAAATAACGCAGACAGATGGAAACGAGTGTGTTTTATTTCCCTGCCTTCACTTCCTCATAAAGAGCTACATGAGTGATCTGAAGAACGAGTAACCGTGAAGATCGACGTCCTGATGGACACAGCCGTAGTTTGACTCTTGTTGAACTAAAACGTCCTCGTCTTTAATCTTGGCACAGAACGAAACAACTAACCCATTCATTTAGAAACCTTCACTAATCGACTGAAGAATTATCGACTGCAGAATCGTCCGTGACCGTCGGTTATTTATTGCTCATCATTTTGAAATCGAGATCTAGAAGTTGACGTTGCGTCATCTTACATGAGAAGAATTTTGTTTTTGTTTTTCAGTAGTGGAAGAATGAAACAGTTCACGTCATCCTTTGGAGAAATGTCAGAAATAATGTTGAAAACGTGGCTAAATGTTGAAGTGATTGTAGTGACCTTCGTGTGACGTCAGTGTGAGAAGGTGGTCAATATTCCTATTGATTTAATTTGTTCATGAATTCAATGTATGATTGAATAATGATCAGCTGATAAATCAGTGCTGACCCTTTAGGACGGATGAACTGAGCAACACTGAAATAATGATACAAATAAATAAAAAAGTCAGAATAAAACATTCACTTCACCACAGTTTTATTGTTGAGAGAAACAACATCAGTGTTTGAGAAAAACAACAACTCTTTACAATAATAATAATAATAAATTATAATAATAATCTAAATTTTCAGCTTCTTAAATCTTCTCTTTATTCTTGATTTTTTTCCTCCTCCTGAATCCTGTTGTTCTTCCCAAACCAACCTTCCCTGAAAAACACTTAAAAACGCCAGCAGATTTCCACCAGAGGGAGCTCGAACACACATGACTCTTTACTATAAAACATTTCTCACAAGTCGATGTCATAAAAAAGCTGTAATAAATGGAACTGTTAAGTTATTTAAAAAAATAATGAAAATCCCGTTAATTTTCCAATAATTTCAGCCGTTGTTTTTTCTACTCAGTCTGAGTCAATGTTCTGCTGTTATTGTCAATGAATGAACTGTGTGTGTGTGTGTGTTTGAGGGGAAAATCCAGCCACACACACTTTCACACTTGGTTGTTGTTCTGCTGGTTCTTCCTGTGTTGTGTTTAGTGAACGTGGGAATTCTTACGTTTGTTCAATCAGTCTGTTTTTGTACATTTGAACGTGAATTAGTTTTTTCTCTTCTTTCTTCTGTCAGTGTTAAACTGAGCTGTTTGAATAACAGGATATCAGCCAAGGTCAACACCACTGTAACATGAGCCGTGTGTGTGTGTGTGTGTGTGTGTGTGTGTGTGTTTGGATTCTTCTCGTTGTTCGCTCATCTTTAAGTCAATTTGATCAAATGTTTTCCCTCTTAAATCACATGACTCCACAGACGTCAGACTGAGGTGGAGCAGCATGATTGACAGGTGATGAGGATGATTGACAGGTCACTCTGTCACAGTCATGCGACTGCAGCCAAAACAGGAAGTGACATCATGGAATGAGTGGATTTGTTGATATTCCTCAGGTGAATGACGACCCCGTGACCTGCACCGACAGGTTGGAACTGGCTGGAACTCCGTTTCTGGGAGTTTTCTGCAGATGAAAAGAGTTGTTCATCTTTGAAAACCTTTCTGCAGTTTTGTTGTCCAGCAGGTGGCGCAGCTCAGTTGATTGAGACATTGTTGATGAGATTTTATTCAGATTTGACTTCAGATTAAACTCTGTGGGGTTCAACCTCCGTCACTGTTCTCCAGTGGGTGACTGATGGAGCATCCAGAAAGTTCTGGTACTGTTTGGACTATTCAGTTCCACACAAACACTGGGAGTTCAGTAGAACTTTTTCAACCGATTTGTAGAATTGTTGATGCAAAAAGTTCTGTGTTTGTGTGTGGTGAAACCTGAGGAAGTTAGAACTGATCTGGTCCCTAACGGTTCTGTGTTTGTCATGTGAAGAACTGAGGGTTGAAGAAGGGACAGTGGGACAACCAGCTGATGTCTCTTGGTCCATCTGTGTCTCTGTGTCTCAGTGGTCGGGTGCTCCCTCCTGTCAGCGTGGCACCTTCTCCTTCTACAAATCAGTGAGCAGCAGATCTGGAACCGATGGGCCACTGAAGGTGTGGAGGCTCGGAGAGTTCTACTTCATCCGCTGTGGACCGCAGGATCCTGTGTGCGTCGCTGAGGTCAGAGTCCAGCTGCTGCTCAGCTTCTGAAAAAACACATGTTAGATGTTGGTACCATTTAATGGAACAAACAACACAGTGGACACCAGGCAACAAGGAACCAGACTTTCTGAAATGAAAACCAGCAACAGTTTGGGTCGTTGGTAGATGGGCTTTTACACACACTCTCCCACACCAAACCTCATAGAGAAAATCAAAGATTTTAGTTCAGACCAAACCTCATAGAGAAAATCAGAGATTTTAGTTCAGACCAAACCTCATAGAGAAAATCAGAGATTTTAGTTCAGACCAAACCTCATAGAGAAAATCAGAGATTTTAGTTCAGACCAAACCTCATAGAGAAAATCAGAGATTTTAGTTCAGACCAAAGTCCATGGAGAAAATCAGAGATTTTAGTTCAGACCAAAGTCCATGGAGAAAATCAGAAAATCTTGGAGAAAATCAGAGATTTTAGTTCAGACCAAAGTCCATGGAGAAAATCAGAGATTTTAGTTCAGACCAAAGTCCATGGAGAAAATCAGAGATTTTAGTTCAGACCAAAGTCCATGGAGAAAATCAGAGATTTTAGTTCAGACCAAAGTCCATGGAGAAAATCAGAGATTTTAGTTCAGACCAAAGTCCATGGAGAAAATCAGAGATTTTAGTTCAGACCAAAGTCCATGGAGAAAATCAGAGATTTTAGTTCAGACCAAAGTCCATGGAGAAAATCAATTTTACTGAACTAATTTCTTGTTTAAATTACAACAGTTAAGGACCCACATACATGTCTGTGTATTCTTTTCTATTAAATGTTAATTATGGTCAAATCTTTTCTTGACTAGTTTTATTTTTCAACTACATGAAATATTGTATTGCAAACAATTGAACCGTATTTGATTGAGTTTCGTTAAATGAACTTTTCTGTGACCTGCAGGTGACATTACTATGGGAGGACCAGACACAGCGCCACCTTCTGGCCAGTGCCAGACTCTACTTTTTACCTGAAGATACACCAAGGGGGCGGACCAGGGAACATGGAGAGGTGGGTCAGAGCTGGTGCGAGGACTTTTGGTTCCACTGTCAGTCTTGACTGAGTTTATGAGAGGAAGTGTCCAGACGTCCCTCCGTCTTCATGAAGGGGACATTGACAAGTGTCACACACACATTTGGCCTCAACAGTTAATCCATTTCTAGGGGGCAGTGGCTTCTCTCAGGAAACAGACCGAAGGCGAAAGTTGAACCAGCAACCTTCTGGTATCAAACCCATTTCTTTAACCACCAGACCGCGGCCTTTCTTATTTAATTACTATTTTAGATTAAAGTTGGATTCTAACTTATTTTCTTAGAACTAGAGCGTGTCTAAGCAGACTTCCTGTCTGTGTTTCTCATGGACAGGATGAGGTTCTGGCAGTGTCCAGGAAGATGGTGGTGAGGGTGGAGGACCTGGTGAAGTGGTCTTGTCTGAAGCCCAGCAGTTGGATCAGAAGCCAGAAGCAGCTGCCTTTGTCGTGTGAAACCAACAGTGTCCACAAACCTCCACAGAACACTGACACAGACGGCAGCAACAACAACAACAACAACAACAACAACAACGTCTCGACTGAGAGTAAGAAACTGCCATAAAGAGAGAGTTAAAGTGTAGTTAAGACTCAGCTGGTAAAATGTGTCACAGAGTCTTCAATACGTCAAGAACAAACTTACATTTTTACAACAAAAGGCAGAATTAGGTCAGCAGCACCAGTGATTTTAGTTCAGACCAAAGTCCATGGAGAAAATCTCTGATTTTCTCCATGGACTTTGGTCTGAACTAAAATCTCTGATTTTCTCCATGGACTTTGGTCTGAACTAAAATCTCTGATTTTCTCCATGGACTTTGGTCTGAACTAAAATCTCTGATTTTCTCCATGGACTTTGGTCTGAACTAAAATCTCTGATTTTCTCCATGGACTTTGGTCTGAACTAAAATCTCTGATTTTCTCCATGGACTTTGGTCTGAACTAAAATCTCTGATTTTCTCCATGGACTTTGGTCTGAACTAAAATCTCTGATTTTCTCCATGGACTTTGGTCTGAACTAAAATCTCTGATTTTCTCCATGGACTTTGGTCTGAACTAAAATCTCTGATTTTCTCCATGGACTTTGGTCTGAACTAAAATCTCTGATTTTCTCCATGGACTTTGGTCTGAACTAAAATCTCTGATTTTCTCCATGGACTTTGGTCTGAACTAAAATCTCTGATTTTCTCCATGGACTTTGGTCTGAACTAAAATCTCTGATTTTCTCCATGGACTTTGGTCTGAACTAAAATCTCTGATTTTCTCCATGGACTTTGGTCTGAACTAAAATCTCTGATTTTCTCCATGGACTTTGGTCTGAACTAAAATCTCTGATTTTCTCCATGGACTTTGGTCTGGACTGATCACTGGTCACTGGTACTGACTGATCTTGTGTCTCTGTCCCTTTCTCTCAGATGACTCTCCGGTCCAACAAAACGTCAAAGTTCTCAGTTACCCACAGTACTGTCGGTTCCGCTCCCTGCAGAGGCGTGTCCAGGATGCGGCGAGGGGTCCTGGGCTGCAGGACCCTCATCTACTGGCTCTGGGTGGAGTCAAGGCCCTGCCCAACACTAGGCTGCTGTACTGCAGGGACACGTTCAACCACCCGACCCTGGAGAGCAGCACCGTCTTCTCCTGGCAGTTCAGTGAGTGATTTCTCTGCGTCTGTCTTATCTAGGTTTATGTTTTTATATATTTATATATTTATATATCAGGGCAACGGGAACGTCCTTTGTGTCTTTGTGTCTTTCATCGAGGGGGGTTTGAACCGCCCTTGGTCTGATCCGTTTGCCCTCCACCATGTTTCATATACATATATCTGGGTTCAAATGTCAGTTTTTATGGTAAACTTTTTTGTTTCATTTCTGAGGTTGATCTGAAGACTGACGGTCTGTGATAGAACCTTCAGGTTTCCGTGACATGTTTGTTTCCGTGTTCTGCAGGAAGTCCATCTCTAAGTCTCCGGGGTCGACCTCGGAAGAGACGAGGTCACGACGGCAAAGACTCGCCGACATTCAGCCAATCAGAGTCCTGGATCGAGAAAATGAAGGTTTGTTCCCTTTGACAAAGGACTTTCCTCCGACTGTCAGTGACATCATCAGTTACTGACTGTCAGTGACATCATCAGTTACTGACTGTCAGTGACATCATCAGTTACTGACTGTCAGTGACATCATCAGTCGCTGACTGTCAGTGACATCATCAGTTACTGACTGCAGACTGGTCCACGTGTGCGTGTGTGTGTTTCAGGAGAACGTGATGGGCAGCGTGGAGCTGGGCGGTGAGAACAGCTGGCTTCCTCATCCTGAAGAGCAGCTGTTCTTGGACCAGCTCTACACCTTCATGGACCAGCAGGGGTCGCCCATCATCAAAGTTCCAAACCTGGGATTCAAGAAGAGTCAGTTTGTGTTCCGTTCCTTTGTCTTTGTCTTTGTTTGCCCTAAAACCTCAGCCTACCCAGAATGCTCGGTGCTGAAACGTCTAACGTTGACAGGAGAGTCGTCAGAGAACCGGCAGGTTGGAGGTTCAGAGTTGGTAGTTTGACTCCTGGTTCCTGACTCCTCTCCTCGTCGGTGCTGACGTCGGTTCTAAAATAACCAGTTCTTCCGTTTCTTCTCTTTCATGTGTCGGTGCTGCCCGACCTCAGTCGACCTCTTCCTCATGTTCTCGGTGGTCAGGAGGCTGGGGGGGTACAAGAAGGTGAGTGGGGTCTCACCTGGAGGGGAACCCTAGTGTGACCACGTCATGTGACACCGCCCCGTGTGTGTGTGTGTGTGTGTGTGTGTGTGTGTGTGTTACAGGTAACGACGGAGCGTCTGTGGAAGTGTGTGTACAACGAGCTGGGAGGATGTCCAGGAAGTACCAGTGCTGCCACCTGTACCAGGAAACACTATGAGAGGTCAGCAGTTCACACAGCCACACTGGTAGAGATGACCTTTGACACCGGGTCACACCAGGTGCTCCTCTGTCTCAGAAGGTTCTAGATCACACCCCGTCCATGAGCTCCGGTCTCCTGAACAGGTTTCTGATCAGGTTTGGTGGAAACTGTGACTATATCCAAGGTCAAAGGTCACACAGCTCAACACCGGAAATGTCAGAGGTCAGGACTTTCTGACTCCGCCTACGTCTGTGTGTGTGTGTGTGTTCCAGGCTGATCCTTCCGTATGAAGAACATCTCAGAACAGGTGGAACTGAATTCAAAATCCCACAATCCCCTTCACCTCCCAAACCCAGAGGGATCAGAGGAAGAAAACCACTTCCCAGAGGCAGGAAACCTGGACCTAAACCCAAGGAGAAGATCTCCAGCTCCTCCTGCTCCTCCTGCTCCTCCACAGCTCTGATAACTTACACTGAGTCTTTCCCTCAGACTGTAAGTCACTGAAACAGTCTTGTGCTAAAAGGCTGAAATGCTTTGATCATTTCTTTCGCCCTCTGTTGGGGGAACCTGGGTATTACAGGGAAAAGGCAGACGTATAATGATAATATAAAGAAATTATATCATTTGGAAAAGTTTGGAGGGCATGCACTAAAGTCCAGGCAGAGTCCAGGTCTCACCCATCTCCTCCCCCCCCTCCTCCCTCTCCCCCCTCCCCCTGTGTAGATGGTGAACCCTGATGCTCCTGTTGTGGTGAAGCGGGGTCGAGGTCGACCTCCCGGAACTCGTAACAAGACCACGCTGCTGGCCGAGGCCAAACTGTTGACTCAGCAGTCCACCAAAGTCCCACAGACCCCCGGTCTTCTGATTCCTCCTAAAGGAGGAGGAGGAGGAGGAGGAGGAGGAGGAGCCAGGCCCAGCAGCACACACAGGGTAACAGACAAACACACTCCTCACTCTGTAAGTACCATGATGTCAAAGGTCATGATGGTCCTGGGCCTGGACCAGCAGTCACTGTCTGAGTTCACCAGTCTGACCTCTGACCTCCGACGGTCCCACATGTTTTCAGGGCTTTTATTGTGAAAAGAACAGCGTAGCGTTTGAGGAAGCGGCGTGTCCTAACTGAAGCGGATTCTTCTTCTTCTTCTTCTTCTGTCGTCCTACAGCCTCCTGTTCTCACAGTCAACCTGCCTCTGACCCCCGACCTCTCCCCCATGTCCACCTCCTTCCTGCCGTTCCCGCTGAACCCCAAGGAGCTCAAACCTGAGCGGGCGGAGTCCACGGTCTCCCCCCCGGGTGTCATCCTGTCCACTCTGCCTCCACACATTGTGGGGGGGTCGCTGGGGGGCTTCAGCCCCATCAAGGGCATTTGTCCTTTAGACGTCTTCAGGAACCGCTTCAATCTACAGAGGGCGCCAGAGAGTCCAGCGGTGACCCCACAGGACCCGGCTCTGCGTCGCCCCAGCATCTACACCTCCGCTCCAGACGCCCCTCACCAGAGTGGAGAGCAGCTCCAGGCTCCGCCCTCTGGACCCCAGCAGCACGGCCGCGCCTCCGGCTTCAGTGTCGATGAAGTCGCCCAGGTGAGTGTGGGCTGCAGGGACGCTAGGCTCCGCCCCCCGCTGCCTCCTCTCAGGGTCCTGCCTCTGAACCTGGACTGCAGCGTTCAGGTGTGTCAGTTGATGAAGAGCCGGCGTCTGGACCCGTCGCAGCTGCAGACCTTCACTCGTCGGTTGTCGGAGGCGCTGTCGCAGGACCTCAGCCCCAAACCGCCCTGCTCGCCAATGACTCCGCCCCCTGAGCAGGCGCTACCGCTCAACCTCAGCAAACGCTTCGTGGTGAAGAGACCCAGCACGGAGGGACTGGAGCTGTTCCCGGTGCAGAGCAACGGGAACGTGGACCTGTTGCAGCAGGCGTTTTCAAAGAGACCCAGACCAGGTGTGGAAAACTCTGGTGATTTCCACCAGGGGGCCAAGTCATCCAGCTCCACGGGAAGTGCCGCCGAGGAGGACGTGGAGATGAAAAACCCGGAGGAGCCGGCGGACCTGAGCTCTCCGAGCAGGATCAGGGCGTTTCTGCTTGGACTTCCTCCGTTCCAGGTCAAACTGGAGGAGGATCTGAACGGGACCAGGTTTGGGAAGTTCCACCCAGCAGGGTCTGACAGTAATGTGGAGCAACCTGAAGGAGGCGCTGCAGCAGTGAAGAAGGACGTGATGTCAACGGAGGAGGCCGCGGAGAAGAACAATGTGCAGCAGGCGGAGTCGGAGTACAGCAGCTCCGCCCACTGTGCTGGTCCTGGACCAGTGGCCACGCCCTCAAAGTCAAACGCTCACTGTTTTTAGTATTTTTCCAATGACAGGTCTGCGGTTCGGCCGCTCTGTCGGACCTTCAGACAGTCTCGTCCCGGTCTTTGGTTCTGATTGAACATGTGACAATCATCAGTGGGTTTGGTCCGGTTCGGAGAGCGGGCCGAGGAACGCCGTTCTGACCTCTGTCACTCTCCATCAACAGTAAAAAAATGGTATTAGGTAAAAAAAAAAAAAAAATGGACGATGCTATGCATCATGATGTGGTCACATGGTGGCGCCACTGCATGTGCAGACTTTTAAAATCCTCCTCTACGTCAGTAGAGAAAGGTGTATTTTCTGATCAAGTGTTTTAAGGTGGAGCGCGTGCTGTAAGCCGTTAGCTCCCGTTAGCTCCCGTTAGCTCAAATGCGTTAATGTTCACACGTACGTGCCTTAAATCCAACACCGCGAACCGTGAGCTTCTCAGGTGTGGGTTCACCTTCATGTGGGTGTGGTTTCCCTCCTCCTCTTTTATTGTTTTCTAATTAGCGCCTCTGCTGTTCTGTCTGTGTCACTGTCGCCGTAGGACGTGACATCATCAGCCATCGCACCGACCAGTCTGTAGCCCAAACTTTCAGTCTACCTCAGGATATCTCAATAAAAATGGTTTTTCACCAGCATTTCCTGTTCCCAGGGGGCGGAGCCTATTATCACCTGTACAGTCCCAGTGAGTCACAACGCTAACCCTAAACCAATGAAACGACGCGACCGCAGCAGGACTGGAGATGATTGGCTGGTATTGGTGTAAAAATGGTTTTCAGTAAAGTGAACTCTTCTTCTCATTGGTCGCTCCACCTTCCCTTCTTACAGTGCCAACATAAGCCCCGCCCCCTGTGTATCGCCACAAACACCTCACACGACTGTAAAAAACTTCCGTTTTTTCTCCTCTGCTGCAGCAGACGACGGTTGACGTTTGCACACCTACTGTAGCTGTTAGCTTGGACGCTCACTCCATCGTGTTATTTATGTCCGCCATGTCAACGTTCTTTGTTTTTGTTTTTTAATGTGGAATTGACCCACGACACCGAACGTCACTGGTGCTGTTTGTTCCTCGTTATCAAAGCTGTCGTCGTGATTCTGTCGATTGGATCAAAGCTGTCGTCGTGATTCTGTCGAGACAAAAAAAAGCTGCAAACCGATTGGACGTCACGCCGCGACTCAGCGTAAACACGTGTTGTTAAAAACATGTGCAGTTGTTTTTGTCGACTGTTTGTTGTTGAGTGGACTCTGTAGATCGGAGCTGGTGCAGAAACAGAACTTCACCAGAACACCTCAAAGGTTCTGCTTTACTTCAACCAGGATGGGCTTGTCATGTGACAGGAAGTGATGACTGTATGTGTCATTCTAGTTCCTGTTGCCCTCAGGAGTTTTCCTTTTTTTTTTTCAGACTTTGGAGAAATCATAAAAACACTGAACAGATCTGTGTCTGAGCTGGAATCGTCAACAGACCAAAGATTTCACAAAAAATCTGTTTAGCCTCGCTTTGTACGATCGTAAGAACTTCGTACAACTTAATGACAAATGCTCACACGGCTAAATGAGTTTCCTTCTCAGATTTCACCTCTAAACCAAATTAATCAGAAAGTCCCTACCATGGAAATGTACACTTCGTACGAACTTCGTACAGACTTCGTACAGAGTCTGTGTCAGTTTATACTGCAGTTCTGGACCAGTTTAATCTCAGAGTTTGACTTGTTTTTGTTTTGGAACTTGCATGTCTTTGTGCCAACAGTTCTGTTACCCCACCCCTAGAGGTCAGTGGTGTGTGCGCGGTTGTGAGGGGGCGGGGCCAGGGTTGTTAAAGAGATGAGCAGCATGTTAAACCTGTACGAGAGATGAATACTATCAAATGTTTTTGTTTTGTTTTCTTGTTTGTCTATTTAAGCTTTGGTTTTGACAACATTTTTTTCTTATTCACGTTGAATTTCATTTAAAGATTTAAATGTTTACATTTGTTATGCATGTTTTTTAAAAAAGGAAAAAAATAATGTGTTGCACACAAACCTCTGCATCGTTCTTCACCTGCACAAGTTCATCTATGAAAAGTACGTAAACGCTAAGTGCCTGATACCAGACGGAAATGTTCACAGTGCCCCCTGCTGTAAAGGTCGGTCATTGCCCGTGGTTTTTGGGGAGGTTAGGGAATGTTGAGGCAAAACCAGATGACAGTGGACTGGATCTAAAGAACTGGACAGAGACACCTGGTGGCTGTGCAGAGCAACACAACACATCATGTGACTTCATCCAGAAAAGCTACATGAACAAATAAAAATAGGAGCTGCGTATAAAATGTTATCGTACTTAATATAAATACATTAAAACCATATTTAATACAAGAAAAGTTGATTTTCCACAACTTTAAGAGATCTGTCTGGTAAAGCGCCCCCTTAGTTTTGGTTTTAATGTTACGTAATATGTTTTTGGTGCTATGTCACTGACGTTTCCAATGGGAATTTTTTTAACCACTCATTTTTTCCACACCAAAGTTCACAGAGGAAGCTGCCAGTCTATGCTGCCTCGTGAGGGCAGTCTGTGTCAGTGAGGTGAATCTAAACAAAATGATTTAAAACTGTGAAGTCACAACATAACACGCTGTGTCCCTGTCAGCTAAAATCTCTGATTTTCTCCATGGACTTTGGTCTGAACTAAAATCTCTGATTTTCTCTGTGGACTTTGGTCTGAACTAAAATCTCTGATTTTCTCTATGGACTTTCGTCTGAACTAAAATCTCTGATTTTCTCTATGGACTTTCGTCTGAACTAAAATCTCTGATTTTCTCTATGGACTTTGGTCTGAACTAAAATCTCTGATTTTCTCTGTGGACTTTGGTCTGAACTAAAATCTCTGATTGTCTCCTTGGACTTTGGTCTGAACTAAAATCTCTGATTTTCTCTATGGACTTTCGTCTGAACTAAAATCTCTGATTTTCTCTGTGGAAACTGGCTCCTCCCCTTTTTATGCTGAACTAAGACCAGTTGAAAAGCCTTTTCCACAGACGGTGAAAGCCGAGGTCGCTGCAGCAGGAAGTGTTTCGTCTTCTCTGTTGTGATGATGATGATGATGATGATGATGAAGGTGCAGTGAAGTCACGTTCCGTTTCTGTTTTTCTTCCTCCCTCGTTGTCAGGTACCATTCCATTTTCACACTGTATATTTATAATAAAATCCAACTGTTACTCTCACGTCTGAGGACTGAACCATATCAACATCCAAGTGTTTGGACAAAATCTGTGACTGTGACCACTGGACAGTTTTAGGTCACTGGTTCGATGCCCGGTTGGTCGTTCTTTTGTGTTCGAAGTTTGCTTGTCCTGACTGTGTCCTGGTTTTCTCTGGTTTCCTCCAACAGTCCCAGAACACCACAGGTGGCCGGTGAATAGAGGACTGTATACCGCCCCCGCCATCATCAGCTGGGATTGGCTCCTACTCCCCCCCCCCCGCAAAGGTATAAGCTGTACGTGATGGATGAATGGGTGAGTTAATGGGTGAGTTAATGGGTGAGTCAATGGGTGAGTTAATGGGTGAGTTAATGGGTGAGTCAATGTCCACATTGAGCAGGATGGTACGACATGGGCCACAGCACACAGTGATGGCATGTGACCCACACGTCTCTGTCAATGGGCCATGAAACTTCTGCGTGTGCAAACAAAACTGGAGTTCATTTTGGGTTGGATGGAGTCGACCAACGTCTGTGTCCAGACTGTGTCCACCTCCTGAAGTCTCCCGGGTCTGAAGGGTCCAAGCCCCTGGAACGTCCCCCCAGTAAATGCTTTTCCATTTGTAGGAATATTGAAAAAATATTGAACATTATCTATGATTAAAATTCAAACTACTGTGTAACTGCGCCACGTAGTGTTAGGGTTATGGAATACAACTGAACGGCTTTTATTTTGAAGGCAACTACTTTGGGTTAGTTTCTTAATTGACGTATTTCCGGCCCGTGCTCTTTTGCACCTCCGGTCGCATTTGTCAGTGAACAATGCCTCTACATACGTTCAACTGGATAAAAGCTTTTATTTTGAAGGGTCCAAGGACGACCTTTCACCTCTCAAGTGTTTGGGTTTTTATGGATTTTGATTAAAAAAAAATTAAGATTTTAAAAGAAAAGTAAAAAAACAAAAAACATTTCTCTCTGGACTTTGGTCTGGACTAAAACCACTGAGAACAGAACCTGCCCCTAATGTAGGGTTAGTTCCACAGCAGGGGGCGCTGACAGACGAGTTAACTTTCTGTGTTCACTGTCGGCGAAACCCCTAAACTGTGTCTTTAGGACGAGCTGTGGGGCACTAGGACCCAGCAGACACCAGTCGTAGTCTTTGTCTCTCTCTCTCTCTCTCTCTCTCTCCCCCCTCCCTCTCCCTCCCTCTCTCCATCCTCTTCTTCAGCAGAACAAGTCCTGGTACTGGTTTGGGGGGTTTCTGGGTTTTTTTCCTTCTCTTTCTGCGTCTGGTTCTCCTTTCTGGACCTGGATGCTCAGATCTGGATTCGGTCATGGCTGTAAATCTGGGGAAGAACAGACTGACGGTGCTCTCGGCGTATCAGGACGTCATCGACGAGAGCTGCGATACCGACTGGTGAGTCCGGAACCCGCAAAGTCCACAGTCTACAAATCGCAAATCCACAATCCGGCACCGGGATCCGCCGCAGAGGCAGCCTGCCGCTGATCCCGATCCTGATCCCGATCCCCGTCTGGGCCTTTGTCATCACGCACACGCGCGAGCGCGCGTCCGCCGATTCTCCTGATTCAGCGGTTTGTTGATGCAAAAAAAAAAAAAAAGCCCCGAGGGTCAAGGACCAGGTCTGGGTCTGGGTCTGGGTCTGGACCGACTCGTACAGTAACATACAGTTTTAGATCTGAAACCCTGATCCAGGTCTGGGCCTTAGTCTCAGCCTGTTATGGACTCTTAGATCCTGGCGTTCGTACGTTCTGGTCCTGTACCGTATTCAGTACTTCAGGTTCCATGGTACCCGTGATTCAGTACCAGGGATTTGGATCAAATTATCCAGGATCATTTTTCTGGAGCAGAGTACAGTTCAGTCTGGTTTTGAATTTGCTCTGAGTCACGTCGTACTGGTTCTGGACTTCACTCTGGATCAGTGATTCAGTTTTGTCATTTGAAGTTCTGGAATGGAGTCGGCTTTAGTCAGATCTGGGATCAGGTTGTGGTTCAGGTCCCTGAACTGACGCAGCATTTCTCTGTTCTGTTTGATTCTGGAGCAGCTGGACAGGTTCTGTATAAAAGTGATGGGGGAGGAAGGAGGTTGGGGGGCGGGTGGTGTCCTGCATCTGGTTAATATGACTTTTAAAGGGGTAGTTCAGACCAAACCTCAGAGAAAATCAGAGATTTTAGTTCAGACCAAACCTCGTAGAGAAAAGCAGAGATTTTAGTTCATACCAAAGTCCATTGAGAAAATCAGAGATTTTAGTTCAGACCAACGTCCATGGAGAAAATCAGTGATTTTAGTTCAGACCAAAGCCCATGGAGAAAATCAGTGATTTTAGTTCAGACCAAACCTCGTAGAGAAAAGCAGAGATTTTAGTTCAGACCAACGTCCATGGAGAAAATCAGTGATTTTAGTTCAGACCAAAGCCCATGGAGAAAATCAGTGATTTTAGTTCAGACCAAAGCCCATGGAGAAAATCAGAGATTTTAGTTCAGACCAAAGCCCATGGAGAAAATCAGTGATTTTAGTTCAGACAAAACCTCGTAGAGAAAATCAGAGATTTTCGTTCACACCAAAGTCCATGGAGAAAATCAGTGATTTTAGTTCAGACAAAACCTCGTAGAGAAGATCAGAGATTTTAGTTCAGACCAAACCTCGTAGAGAAAAGCAGAGATTTTAGTTCAGACAAAACCTCGTAGAGAAGATCAGAGATTTTAGTTCAGACCAACGTCCATGGAGAAAATCAGTGATTTTAGTTCAGACCAAACCTCGTAGAGAAAAGCAGAGATTTTAGTTCAGACCAAAGTCCATGGAGAAAATCAGTGATTTTAGTTCAGACCAAAGCCCATGGAGAAAATCAGTGATTTTAGATCAGACAAAAGTCCATGGAGAAAATCAGTGATTTTAGTTCAGACCAACGTCCATGGAGAAAATCAGTGATTTTAGTTCAGACCAACGTCCATGGAGAAAATCAGTGATTTTAGTTCAGACCAAACCTCGTAGAGAAAAGCAGAGATTTTAGTTCAGACCAAACCTCAGAGAAAATCAGAGATTTTAGCTCAGACCAAAGTCCATAGAGAAACTGGACTAAAAGTTGAAGTCTGATCTTGATCTTTCTTTTTCTGATTTTAATGAAACCACCCAGTATTGTCACTGCCGCAGGTTCAGAACCCGAATGTATCCTGTGTAGTATTGATAGCTGATCATGTGACCTCTGCCTGGTGGTTTAGTTGAGCTGAGCTCAGGTTTCACATCATGTTGTTTTGTTTCTCTGAATCATTTAAACTGAGTGTTAGCGTCTGAAGCTTTTTCACTTCTGTTTTTTAACTGCGTGGTTTACGGCCGACAGTGAACGTTGTCAGTAATCCCTGAATGGTGTTAATGATCAACGCTGAGATAAAACAGGCGCTGTCATCAGCAGTGAGGAGGCTCAATTCTGTCTCATGGTTCAGAATCTGGACCATTGGAGTCCAGGTCCAGGTCCAGGTCCAGGTCCAGGTCCAGGTCCAGGTCCAGACTTTGGATCTGATGTTTCTGATTCAAAGTCCTGTTAAATTTGACTGGTGGAGGGAATGAAAGTGTTTATCAAAGATCACCACTGGGGGCGCTCTCATTTACCACAGTATGAAAAGAGACGACTGAGCAGAGGGGTCTGACCACCAGATGTCACTGTTTCTTACTGGCTGCACCTTTAATAGTTTGGTTGAACTCCACAGCCGTCTCCCCCTGATTGGCTGCAGCAGGGTCAGCTGATTAAATACCCTGGGGTGGGGGCGGAGTCACATACAGTGGTCAGACCAAACGGGGGCGGGGCTTTGACAATGGGATGTGACTGGATCAGGGGGTGAGTCGACGACAGTGGGACTCTGGGGGAGGAGGGTGAGGGTGTTGTTGTGGGGGGGGGGGGTGGGGGGAGGGTGGGAGGACTGTA